ATTTTTGAGGGCAGTGGCACTGGGCAGCGAGCTCAGCAGCTGCTGCACTGCACTCCATGTAAGGCCACCTTGAAGGGCAAATGTCCACAGGGCTGAAGATCTGGAAATATATTCCAGCAGCTCAGGAGCTGTGGAAAATCTTGGGGTGCTTACTGCTCTGTATTTATGTGCAGGACCTTGTCTTGCTTGAGATACCAGTGCTATCGATGCTATTAAATGCTAGCAATTTGGAGGATGTGTTCATTTTCAACAGGGTGGCTCTGCAAGCTCATATGTTGGACACTGGGAGGAGAATGGGGGGCAACTGGGTCAACTGAGAGCAAATTATCCTGGCCTTGGGGTCTGCTTGGCTGCAGCATGCTGAGCTGGAGTGTTTTTAAGGCTGGTGTTCTGTATTTGGCCCAACCCTCTGATGCTGCTTTGTTCCGTGTGGGTTATCCGTGTGGATATTCATTGTTATCCACCACAGCACTAAAGGAAATTGCTGTGTCTGCGTACACTGAACGATGTTTGTACTCAGTGGCTATAAGAAAAGATGCAGCTGGGTATGTATCCTCCTCAGAAGTTCTGCTGGGCTATGCTGGAGACAGAGCAGGAAACAATCTCCCCAATAAACAAACAAACAAACAAAAATGAAAAGAATGGGAAAAAATCACTGCAAGTATTTGAATGAATGCTCAGTGCACCTCTCTCCATCGTGCTTAATGGGTCAGCAGTGCATGTGTGTGTTTGGTAGTTGGCGATACCTTTGAACAGCCGTTTCATGAACAGCTTCAAAGTAAAAAGCGAAAGTGGGATGAGTTTTCCAACACAGATCAAAATGAGCTGGCAATTATCCTAAGTGCAACTTAGGTTCTAATTTTCAAAATCAGTGCAAAATGCTCTTTACAGAGATTGATGGAGTCTGAAGCAAATATTGCAGCATTTTGAAGAATACCGTGGCTAATGGTGTCAAAGGCTTATTTACACAACAAGATTGGAGAGCATAAGACAGCCGTGAATGAAGTGTTGTTGTGTTTAAATAGGTGTTGGATTGGCCCTGCTCATGGGCAGGACCTGGCTCCAGCCTGCCCATCCCACTTGTCCCTGCTGGCAAGTGGCAGGTAGAAGACTGAGAGTCCATCAGCATCACCCTGTTTTCCTACCCTGCAGCCATGAGCGTTTGGGTGTGTGGCTGGGTGGTGCCAGGCTGCATTTTGGTATGGAGATGGTGATAGGGGAAAAAATATACACAGATAAGCAGTTCTGCTGAGAAAGAACCTTGGGAAGAGATGAGGAGGTTTGCGCTGGCAGATTTTGGCACCTGTGTGGAGGACAGAAGGCTGAAGTGTTGTGCTTCACCATATCCCTTCCTCTCCACCAGTTATTACCCGTGTTTGGCATTGTTGCCATTACAGCAAATACCCAAGGAACTCGTGCACTGCATGGGTGGTGGAGATAGGAGCTAAAGAAGAAGTTTTACTGTGACCGGGGGGAAGTCCATTTCTGCTCATCTTCTGGAAGCCGGATGGCATGTCTGCTGTCAAAAACTTGAAAAAATACAGAAAAAAATCCTACTTAAAACAGGAGAGCTGCTCTCTGCTCTTTTTTTTTTTTTTTTTTGGCCTCCTTCCTAGCCCAGATGCTATTGCAAGCTCTCAACCTACCACTGGAGGAACTCTTCTCTTCTCACGTCTTCTAGGCTTTTCATGCTCATCTCGGCACTTCTTTGTGGTTGTGCTCATCTGTCCTTCTTAAAATACACATCACCTTCTCTTAACCTTTAACTCCATACTTTTTACCTTTCTGTTGTCACTAAGCAGCCTTAACAAAGGCATTCAGTGCATTGACATGCTTCTTGCTTCTCAACCAAGCTCATCAACTTCTCTCAATGCAGGTAATGCTCAAATGAGAGCAAGAATTTGAGTTTGAGGAGCAGGTTAGCATCAGGAGAAACTTCAAGTCTAGAAGATGTGATGGCGAGATTAGATCAGTGCTGTCCATGAGTCTATGACTGTCACTGATGATGACATATCCACTGGCTACAAGAGAAATTATTTGGAACCTTTTTTTTTTCTTTTTCTTTTTTTTTTTTGGCAGGGTGATGCACTTAGCTGGGCTAGTTGATTAGGGTATGGAACTGGAGTTTAGTCTGGAGAAGAGGAAGCTCAGGGGAGATCTTACTGCTCTTTTCAATAACCTGAAAGGAGGTTGTGGTGAGGTGGGGGTCAGCCTCTTCTCCCAGGTAACAGAGATAGGATGAGAAATAATGGCTTCAAATTGCACCAGACGAGGTTCAGGTTGGATATTAGGAAAGGTTTCTTCTCCAAAAGAGCAGTGAGGCAGTGGCACAGGCTGCCCAGGGAGGTGGTGGAGTCACCATCCTTGGAGGTGTTCAAGAGCTGTGTGGATGTGGCACTGAGGGACATGGGCAGTGGGCATGGTGGGAATGAGCTGCTGGATGGACTGGGTGATCTTAGAGGTCTTTTCCAAGATTTTTTTTTTATCTACGGCATTATATGCCTTAAAGTTTGAGAACTAGGAGGATTTCATGTCCCTCCAATTCTCCTCCACCTTAGTTTCCATTACTGAAATTCTATTTTCATGTTGATTTAACTAGAATTATTATGACACTGCTTATTTTTTTTGGTTTTGCCTCTTGGCAGGTTCATTCTCTATGGCACCGTGATTCCCTGCCCAAGATGTCCTCCTTTCACCACTCGCTCTTCTTGTACCATCTCCGGGAATGCTCAACCCACTCTCTCTTCTAACAGCTTGTTTATAGGTGATTTTTCATGGCAAATTATCGGGCTGGGAAATGCTTCCATGTATGTTTCCAACCTGTGAAGTCAGCTTAATGGTGCGTGGTTGATCTGATGGACTCCGAACTCATCAAACTGGGAGCACTTCCTGCATTCTGTGAGCTTAGGAAAGGGCAGTATTTTAATAACAGCCCTTTTGCCTTAGGTCTGCAGTTGTTACTGTCAGGTCAGCAGAGGACAAAAACTAGGTTCAATGAGGAGTAAATGGACTAGCAGTTGGTCTGCTTTTCCATTCCTTTTGGTCTCCTTTTTTCCATTCCAACCATTTGAGGTTCCTAAACTCCAAAAAGCAAACAAACACCTGATTGACTCCTTTGGACCATTTTGAGTCTAGCAGAGGAGGGATACTTGTTTTAATCCATGCACATCCACTAGTAGCTGTTTCAGTTGTTGAAACAAAAAGTCTCTCGAGAGCACCTGCCCTCTATAACTACACAAGATCCGTTTTTGAATGACTGTTTGGTTTTGATTATGGTGAAGGTTTGTCCTGAATGAATATTTCCAGACATGTGAAGTGGCTGTGCTGGCAAGCTAATGTAATAGATCTGGGATCTCAAAGCTCCCATGTTCTATTACCCATCTCTCTCCCTCCCACTCACAACGCAGATATTAAGACGGTGTTTATGTATTAGGATAAGCTTATTTCCTTCAAGAGTTGATGTTCTTTTTTCTCCAAAAGGAAATATTAGTGGAAAATTAGGGTGTTTCCCTGAGAAGGCAGTGAGTCATCGGTAGCTATGTTGCAATAGCTTTATTCATAAATATTGTTAAATTATTCACATCTTTAATTTCATGGATATCACAAAGCAGGCGGCACCTCTTCCACCCAAGAAGATGTTTCTCTGCTCATCACAATGGGAGCCCAGCCATGTCCTGTGCTTCCCTGGGGAGCCCCAGCCCTCCTTGCCAGCCATCTCCGTGACCTGGGAAATTCACTGGGGCTGATGCAGTGGGCCAGAACTCTGCTGCTGTGTGTGGGAAGCACAGCAACACTGGAGTCCCATTTGTAGAGGGAAGGTCTGTGACACTTCTCACTTCCAACATACTCTAAAACCCAGGGAGGTCTGGATAAATTTCACCTGATTTTGCTGTAAGCAGATGGGCTGAAGCTCCTATTCCTACTTCCTCCTTGAGGCTCTGCCTGTGAGTATCTTTGCAAAAGACTGATTTCATTTTCTTTTGCAGCCTTCTCTTCCCCAAGTCTCCTTGTGTCGAGGTTGCTGCTGGCCACAGCACCTCTTTTGGCAGATGTTCTGCTTCTGCTGTGTTGGAGAAATGTTGGGTTTTTCCTTTTTTTTTTTTTCTTTTTCTTTTTTTTTTTTTTAATCAGCATCCATGCTGTTAGCGAGTAGCTCCTTTTATTTTTATTTTTATTTATTTATTTATTTTTATTTTTATTTTTATTTTTATTTTTCTGGGACTGCCTTATTCTGATTCTACGCCTAACTTGCCTAGTTTCTACATTTGTTTTCTGCTTTTTGAAAGGTGTCTGTTTCCTTTGAATCACGCTGCTGTGCTGCTGTTTAGCCACCTGGGGTGTAATTTGTAGTTATTTTTTTAATTTATTGTTGGTACATATTTACTCTGAGTTTCTAATGCGGTGTCTTTAAACAGATCCCACTGTTGCACGGCAGTTCAAGAAGAACTTGGGCAGCCATCACAGCAGAAGGCCTTCCTGCTGGGCTCCATACACAGCTCAGAAAGTTGAATTAAGGGGTTTAGACTAATTTTTAGAGTAACAGAATGCACATTTCTGTGAAAGCTCAAGGTCAGATTTGTATTTCTGTTCCCCATTTGGAAGCTACTCTGCTCAGCCTCCCCTTCCCTGTAACTTTATATTGCTGTAAATACAATCCTTCGGTCATGCAAAAGCTGTATTTTTAGCAAGCTCTGCTTGGCTCCTACCTAGGGGAGTGCAACTGCGAAGTTCAGGCCAGCCCCACAGCCCCCGCCACATCCCCCCTCCAGCAGGATGTCCACTCCCGTTGGATGACACACTCAGAAACGCCAATGCTACTGTTGGATAAAAACCTGAACTGCTTCACTTCTGAGAGCTTTCTCAGAGCACTTTGACAAAGCAAGCTCCCTCTGAGATTTTCTCACCATTCTGCTCATACAGTTGCTTTCTTTCAGCCGCCCTGAAAGCTGTGGTGCTCCATCCCTGGAGGTGCTCAAGGCCAGGTTGGATGGGGCCCTGGGCAGCCTGAGTTTGGGGGAGGCAGCCCTGCCCACAGCTGGGGTTGGAAATATATGGTCTTTGAGGTCCCTTCAACCCAAGCCACGATTCTATGATGAAAGTCCCTGAGAATCAGGCATCACCCCAGTCTTCCTTGGAAAATGTTGTGATTCTCTGGGACTTGTGGGGTATGATCCTGTGCAGCCTTCACAATGCCAAAAGAGGCACAAAGACCCAGTCTCCGGTGGAAGGAGACAGGCAATGCAAGCAATGCTGTGAGTGAAAATGGGAAAGAATATGTAACTAGTTTCCCAAAACCTGGGCAACTGTTCCCAGCCTTTGCCCATCTGCTGAGGGGATTTATATTTTGGAAGAGGAGTGGTGATACAGAGACTCCCTTCAGTGACATCTGGAGTGATGGAGTTCCATCATCATTCCAGTGTCTTTTCCCTCCTTTTCCTCAGCAGTACCTGGATTGTAGGCAAGTCCTTGCTTTGTTTGGCTAGTAGAGGTAGTACAAACATTTAACATTTCTTTGTCTCCAGCTTCAGGAGGTTGGAAAAAATGAGTCAATGTTTACAGCGGCTTTAGCCAGAGCAGAGCAAAAATCCAAAGGTGAACCTCTCTTGAGTTTTTCATATACCAAGAACATGAAGAGAGGGAAGTCTTTTCATCACTGTGAAAAGTCTGATTATTCATAATGGCTTGATTATTATTATTATTATTATTTTCAGAAGAAGAAGAAAAGCTCACTATTTTAAGACATCACTAGAGGAATGAAATTGACAAGCCTCTATCCAACTGAATGTTTAAATTTTGAAAGGAAAAAGAAGTACAGCATGACTGACATGGTCCTTTTAAAACACATAATATGCTGAACTTAACATGACATTTCCGTAGGTGTTAATCTAAAAAGCTACTTTACATGTAACATAGCAGATGAACTATGTAAGGCAAGGTTGTATCTGTATGTATTGTTGCTCTATAGTAGTACTATAGGACTGAGAAACCTGACAAACTTGTTACTTAAATTCCCAAGAGAAGAGGTTGGGGTATTCCTGCTCTTTCAAACACTGAACAAGTTTGCTTTAGACTAAATTTATATCCATTGTGTTAGAAAGAATAGAGCTTGGTGTTAAAAAGCTGCAAATCCCAGCCAGTTCGTCCCTGAAGAAGTGAGGTACTCTTGGAGAGGTGCTACACAGGGACCTGGTGGAGGTGGTGGAGGTGAAGGAGGTGCAGCTCTGGCTCTCACCAGCGCTCATTTGTCTCTTCCTGCTGAGGCAACATTTGTTGTCTTCTTCCTAGTAAAATTAGGAGAGGGCTGGGGTCACATAACCAGCCCCTGACCCAGCTTGGTAGTAGGAAGAGGTGAGAAACAGTAGTGGGATTTTCACGGCCCTTAGAGCAGGATCAAGGAGTGCTGGTAGCAGTGGGGACTCCTTTATAGGACAAGCAGCGTCCTTCAGCTCCAACTGGAGATCTGCTGAGAAAGAAGAGCTTCCTCTCATTGCTCTAAAGAGCACAGATTTAAAATGCAGAGCAGAACTATTCCAGAAACACAGTTTCTATCTGTAGTGAGAAAATTGGATTATTCTTGCTGCTCCTTCCCTTCTGGTGGTCCTCCAATTTCTCCTTTTTTTTTTTTTAGGAGGATTTGTCTCCATGTAAGATATATGAACCAAAGCTCTAAGGGCTGACATTTTGTCACACCTGCTGGAGATAACTGAGGCGAGTGGGTCTCCCAGCATCAGTGGCCACCCTTGCATGGATAATCTCCAGCAGCCAGCCTCCACTCCTCCAGGAGCCATGTGCAATCATGAGGCTTCAGGTCTCCTAAAAGCACAGACCTTGCAGATCCTCTACCCATTTCCATGCTAGTCTTACTGCAGCATATCTAGTGTACTATGTACCACATAAACCCACATTCCTGTCCAACACTGAAGTGAAGAATGACACAATCACAGAATTCTAAGAGCAGCTTATTCTCATCCTGTTCTTGCTACCTTCTTTCTGTTTGATTATTCTTATTAAGTGTCCCATCTTTCTGTCTGTTTTTCTTCTGTTTTATTTTTCTGGACTTCTGGGTCAGCCTCACCCTTCCCTGTGGGTCTCTTTTTGGCTGTTCAAGCCTTCCTTGATGACAGTGGCTAAGAACAAGCCAGACACCCTTTGGCTGAGTTCATCTCCTTGCAGAGGAGAGCAGATGATTTGGCCATTTTCTCTAACCAGTAAGGAAGAAAAGGGTACCTCCATCTCTACATCCCCACAGTGTGCTTTCCATGAGCAGCTGTTTTCATTTCATTTTTCTTTCCCTGAAATTCATGTTTACTTGTTCTGAATTTCAAGATGCCTACCCAGGCTCCTTTTAGCAGAGAGTTAGAGTAATATAGGATACAGTGGCAACTAGATATACCTATTAATCAAATTAATGCATCTTGCTAAACCAATTCAGAAAGCCTTGGTGCCGGTTGTTGTGATTTCAAGTGTCTCATGACATTCAAGAACTTTGTTATGGCTTTTCTCTCCAGATTCATGTGATAATGGAAGAAGCTGAGGTTTCACTTAGGAGGAATTAGCAATAAAGTATCTGGAGCACCTGGCTGTAGAGAGTGATTGGCAGATGAGACCCAAGAGCACCCTAAAGTCTCAGATAATCAGAAGGCAAATGAAAAGCACCTACAATGAACATCGTTTGGCTGAGCTTGCTGGAAAGGCCCTCACTCAAAATGTGTTTGTCTGGCTGCTCCAGCAAAAAGGAGCTGTTGAGCACCAATACCAGATTCTTGAAAATGCCACAATGCTTTCTGGATAGCACCTTGTGGGAAGCCCAGAGGGGAGTAGGGAGTAAAGTGATGATCACTTGCTGCCACCCTGAGAAATGAGAGTATTAAAGTATGCCACTAGATGAAACATGGCAGAAAATACAGTTTTATGAACCAAGACTCTCTTGACATAAAAGCTTAAAAAAATGCAGGATATTATATAGCAAGAGAGACACCTAATAAACACATGGACATAAAGACCACAGAGATATAGGAAGCATTCAGACTGCACATAGGATTGGTAGAGGACCAAGGCAGTTTCTCTTCTTGTTGCAGAAACCAGCAGGGCTGGAACGCTCTACGCTGTTAGCAGGAACAGTTTGCAAAGGCTTGCACAAAGCCGCTGTCAGAAATAACTCAAATGCAGAGAGGAAAAAATTACTCGAGAGTTCTTTTGGGGAGGATTAGGTTTAAAATAATTGCCATTTATAAATTAATTTCACATCCTTTTGGATTGTGGCCTACTCGCATTTCAAGGCCTGACTGAAGCTGGCAGACAGGGTGGGCACTGATTCCAGGGTCTGACTGCCAAGAGAAAAGAAAATATTAAAGTAAAAAATTGGCAGTGAAAAAAGAAGGCCAGAGAAATACAGGGAAATAAGATTTAGTTTAGGAAAATTATTACTTTCTGAGCCATGGACTGATTCTATGCCTGGCATATTAGTCATGGTCTTACATAGGCTTGGCCTTTGTAATCTATGTCTGAAGAGAAACTGCTGATCAGCGCAGCTTCTGCTGCTTTTGTATTTTTAAATCCACGATCCAGATATTTTTAATCACATTTGAAAAAAAATAATCATATCAAAGCCTACTGAAGGAAGTGGGGACACCCTTCTCAACTTCAACAACTTTTAATCAAGTTGTATGAAAGTAGACCCTGCGTGCCATAAAACTCCTGCTGACATTTTGCCACCTGGGTCCAGCAGCAGAGTAAGGCCATGGCTCCTCCTTTCTTCCCACATGGCATTTTAGGATCACAGGATGTCAGGGTCCACTCAAAGCCCATATGACACCATAGGTCCTTTTGCCTGGTGCTGGCTCAGACCTGAGTCACGAGCTGACAGTGAAGACCTTTCCGCAGACCCATCGTTTGCAAATGATTTCTCCTGTGGCATGGAGGGAAGGGAAATTTAGGTTAGATGTGAAGAAGAGGGTGGTGAGTCACAGCTGCCCAGAGAAGCTGTGGTGCCCCATCCCTGGAGGTGCTCAAGGCCAGGTTGGATGGGGCCCAGGGCAGCCTGAGCCAGTGGGAGGCAGCCCTGCATGGCAGGTGTTGGGGCAGCGTGGGATTTGATGTCCCTTCCAACCCAAACCATTCCATGAGTCTGTGATTCTATTGGACCAGATGAGTTCTTCCCGTTAGGCCTTTTTGGACAATTTTGCTTACAAATGTATGAGCCCTTCAGCACTGAGTGCAAGATGACAACAAGCATCCCAGGGGGTAGCACCTAATTACTAATTAGTGAGTGGTGGTGGAGCAGGAGATTTTCCTTCCCCAGTGAGGGGCTGCCAGCAAGGGAAACTTGCTGGAGGGGAAGGAGCCTGGTGCCAAGGTGCAGCTTTAGGTAAAATCACAGACTGAGAGATCAAAGATGCAGACAGATTCCAGAAAAACTGTTGAAAACAGATTGTTAGGCAGCTTTATGGATCTAGCAAAGGACATGTTTTTCATACTGGAAGAGAGCCATGATGTAGAAATAGACTGAAATCATGAAAGAAGGCTGCAACAGTAGCTTAGGCTGTATATTTAAACATTTTTTTCTGTTGAACCATCTGGACCTCAAGCTAAATTTACCTACATTTTATTTTCAATGTTTCTGCTTCTTGAGAGGTGAAAGGTGTACTTCATGTTTCATGCCAAGAGGAAAAGTAAATGTCCTAGGTCAGATTTTCCCAGTGTCAGAATGGCATGTGTTTTTGGATACCTGACATGCATTGCCTTCACCCCAGGCCCGGTGCTCTGTGTGAACAGAACCCCTCCACAGCCAGCACAAAATTTTGCTTTCCTTTTCCCTTTAACTCTGTACAATCATTACCAATGCAAATGCACTCTCATCTTTTTCTGGTTTTATGCTTGTTACTGGTTTCTTTTTTGAACCATGGCTAGAGGAAGACTGTTTCCATGATGAAAATACTTACAGGGGGATCCAGAACATTTAGCTTCTGACTCAGCTTAGTCAAATATGGTCGGTGACTCCTGCATGCCTGAATACCAGAAGAGAAGTAGCCCCCTTGAACATAGGGAAAGTTTAGTGTGTTTCTCTGACACCTCACAAAGAACTCGTGGGTTGGGGATCAACACAGATTAGATGGTTACCAGTGACATGATGAAAGGCAGTGGGCACAAACCAGAAAGCAGGATGCTCCATCTGAACAGCAGCACTATGCAGGTGATGGAGCACAGGCACAGGCTGCCAGAGGGGTTGTGGAGTCTCCTCTTTGGAGATGTTCAGAAGCCACCTGGACACCCTACCTTTGGTGTGCCTGCTAGAGCAGGGGTTGGACCTGGTTACCTCTAGATGTCTCTTCAAACTTCAGGCATTCTTTGATTCTAGGCAAACCATGTTTTTCTATTCTGCAACTTCTGCAACCTTTCTGCAGAAAACAAGGCACATGTGTCTAATTCTGTGTGAAAACCGAGTCCACCACCTCAAATTGTAGGTACCTGAGTCACTCCTTTGGGACTGACTTCCAATTTCTCCTTTAAAAAGCAAATGAATGAGGAAGCAGGGATAGATGTTCAGATGGTTTCACTGCTAGGGTAAACTAATATCTCAACCTCTGGCCATGTTGTTTCTCTTCTTAAGGTAATTTTCCCATTTTAATGGTTTTGTTCAAATGCTTCCTTCCTGTTTGCTTTAGAGAGAAAAGTATGAAAGTGTCTTCTGGACAGCCACATCTAAGAGTTGTTTTTTTGTTGTTATTTTGGTTTGTTTTTAACCTGTAAACAAGAACACTTATTAGACTCCAATTACTGCCAATTAACTTGGAAAAGACTAAAAGTAAGTATATTGTAGGATTAGAAAAATTAGGTCTCAAGAGACATTGGGTGATCTGTGATGAATGAAGGTAAGGAACTCATCAGGTGGCTCAGTTTGTCTATGATTTTTAGAGCATTAAAAATCTCCACAAATAAAGTCTTAAATGCTTCCATCCATCTCACATTATATATATATCATCTTGATCAGGAAATTGTACTTGGCAATAAAATTCTGCTATCTAGCTAGCTGTGAGCACACTGCCTTCAGAGGTCTTCTCTTTAATGGATGGCACGGAAAACTCTTCCAAGGCCAAAATACATGAAGAAGATTTATTAATCCTGTAGTCTCTGTCTCTCATGATAATGTTTATAATCCATAAGCCTTACATCACATCTAACATCCCAAGTAACAAATGCATCTCTGGGAGACGAACAATAAATCCTATGTGCACTCTGTTCCCAACTCCTTCATCAACGTGAGGAAGCCCCGGAATTGGTGCAGCTCCATTCAGCTACTCTGGTTCCTTCTTCTTCTTACACTGCTTGGGGATGACCCTGCCCAATCCTTCTTGGGCAGCCTTCCTTCAAAACCATCAGTATTTGTCACTGTATTTGCAGTCGGGGTAGCGGTAGGCAAAACGTGAATCACAAGACTGCAGAGGCTTCAGGAGATGTGCCAGCTTTGCCATTGCCTCATTGACATCCTGGTCATCAGTGAGGCCCTCTACGCAGTGCTGTAGGAAGCTGTCTATTTTCTCCTGTACAGGTGGCAGGAATTTCCCCTTCAGGAGCTTAGGTAAAAGCTCTTGACACACCAAGACAAGGCTCTGCTTCTCTCTGATGGAGTTACAGGACACAAATGCAGACTGGCAGTCCACGGTCAAACAGCTAAATATATCCTTATAGTCCTGTTGGCCATCCATCGGTTGGCTCCCTGATAAAGATAATTAAAACAGTTGTTAGGAAGATGGGAGCAAATTGCTGCACAATCACGTATGTCTATACCTCTGAATTAATATAGGGTTACTCATCTCTAAAGCACAGAGTCTTTCACCTCAAAATACACTGTGCAATCTGTGTATGGGTTTTTTCCTACTGAAATACACATTTCTTGCTGAACAACAGGGCTCTACTGAACTGCCCTGCAAAGGAAACGGACAGACGTCTGTTGGGTCAAAGTGGGGTGGAAGAAATGGGAAGAACCCGAGCAATAACCTAGAACATGGAGTTCCTACAGAAACCACCACAAACAGTTAAACCCGTATTCTTTCCATGTTACCCAAAATCATTAAATCGCAAAAACAGCTCATCTAGCTGGAGTTAAGACAACCATAATATCTGCTGGGACAAGAAAAAAAACACTGAGTGGAAAATCCTCTGACAACTCTTTCTGAATATTTGAGATACATTCAGCTGAATGTTTAAGTTGAGCAAAGGTCTTCTGAAAAACTGAACACTCGAAATGAAATTGTTAAATAATAATATTCTTTGAAATATTCCTTGTCTAGCTCTACTTCCAGTAGTAGACCAGTCTAACCTGTGGAAAGTGAATAGCAATGCTTCATTTTAAGCAAGACTGACAAAAGAGGAATTTTGTTATCACTGTATTAATACTATCACTGTAAATACACCTTAAAAGACCCAATGCTTTACTTGAAACAAATGAACCTATGAAGAATCTCTTTGCAAATACTGACATTTGTATGATATATGTTTTACAAAAGAGAAGTAATGTAGTGAGTGCATAATGGAGAGCGCACTGAATGCTGCTGCCCATTACAGAGAGGAAGATGTAGGACTGAGACCCACATGCAGAGCATCATCAGTCCCCTCTCCACTGAAGGCATAAGCAAAATGCCTGTTCCTTTCCCTGCCTGGAGGGACTGCCTCTTACTGCTGGTAAATCTCTCCTTGAACCTTCTATTGTTTAAGCTTAGCAAGTGATGTTTGGTTGATCAAAAAATAAATAAAATAAATCAGCAGAAGGGCTGAACATAATAGGTGAATAATTTGTTTTGCCCTGTTGTGCCAAGCCCCCCTTTGACAGACGCATGGGCCCAGAGCCTGCTGAGTACCTTCCTCCTTGTCGATGATGCCCAGCGTGCTGCCATCCCGGATGAACAGATGCCCGTTGCTGAACACGCCAAAGGTGCCAACGTCCACACGGGTGAAGTAGAAGAAATAGTTGAGGTCGTTGTTGCCCATGGAGCGGAGGACGGCGAGGAGCTGGAGGGCCAGGTCAGCTGCCACCTCAGGGGCTGCCCTGAAGAAGTCGCTCAGAGGCCGGGTGCTGGCGCTGACCACCAGCCGCCCACAGGAGCCCAGATACCGTGGGAAGGGCCACCCTTCCACATCAGGGAAGATCTGCCAGGAGAGGGGAGAGCAGCGCTGACACCCGACCCTGCTCACTGTGCTCTCTGCCCATGAGCCCACCTCCCTCCAGGTGACTTCAAATGCCCCAGCAGCAAGAGTGCACTGCTCCATACTACGTTTATCTTTTCTTCTGGCAGCTAAGGAAGAAGAGTCTGATATTTCAAGATCTGTTCCATGAAGGAGACTAATTGGAATGCGTAAGACAATAATAGATTTAAAATTCATTAAATTTTTAGATGCAGAAAAGCTAATTTTAGGTTTCTCTGTGGGGTTTTGGATGGCTCCCTCATGAGAACGACAGAGCTGAAGTCACAGCTTGAAGGTGAGGTGGAGCTAGAGTAATTTCAACTGATTTCTAAGACCTGTGTGGCCATTTTGTAAGATGAGACTTTGCAGGCTCCCAGACGGACATGCTGGATATTTGCTGCACTGGGGACATCTGAATGGAGCTTACAACTGTCGTGCTGGCAGTGAAGCTGCCCCAGGCCTTTATGTCCCGGGGTGGAAATTGCTCAACTGCTCCACTGCACATTGTTCCCTCTCCCTGGGTAGAGGAGCACAGTGGCTTGAGGCAGGTGGAAGAGGTTGCATCATTATCTGAAAGGGATGCAAGAAATAGCAGTGACAGCTAGAGGAGAGATTGTGGTGAGGATATTCCCTTGGAGACACCTACAAGGGAAGAGAGGAGATCATGTGCCAGGAGAGGACCAGAGAAGCTCTCTACCTTCAAACTCAGAGCTCAGTTGTATGGTTTGGCTGAATCCAACCAAACACCTCTGCAGAGCTGCCCTCTGCTATGGAGCCAGCAACCAGAGGCATGCAAACAGTGACAGCCACAGCACACTGAGCCTAGGAAATCTGTGCCCTGTGAATTCATGTTCCACCAGAATGCTGCATCTTGACTTCACATGCTAATGCATGATCTCTGGTTTTTATAAATATTCTGGATTTTATAAACAAACTGTGATTTTGAGTAATATATTATCAATTGCAAACATGACAGTGAAACATCGGAGATGCGTAAAACCCCGTCTTTCACATTGCACTATTGTAATAACCCATCTGGCTCTGATTTATTTCAGGGGTTGGGCATTTGTATCTCTCAGCAACTTTACAGTCTGATGCAAGAAGCCTGCAGGAGGCTTCAATCACCCAGCCCCATAGAAGAAACATGCGCCATGAATTTTGGGGAGCTTGCAAAGAGCAGCAAGGACTAGGGCACAACTCATGCTTGCAAGAGGCTGCAGGGTGATGTTTCCAGCCAGGGCAGACGGTACCTACCTGTAAGAGGATAGGGTGTGAATTCACTGACAGTGTGTACAGGAGGCGCAGCTTGTCCTGCTCCGTGAGGTGGTCCATGTAGATGCTGCCAGCATCTGGCACTTCAGCGTAGCGCCTCACAATCCGGTCCAGAAGACGCTGGGATGGGCAGCGCAGCAAGGGGCTGGACAGACCCTGGTGTAGGGACAAAACGTGAGAAGAATGTTAATCTTCCATCCGTGAGATACCACAGATTTTGAAAATGGCACCCAGTCTTCATGGCACAGCCATGGTCTCCACCAACTCCATTTCCTTCCTTGCCGAGCTCTGCGCTCCTGCCTCCAGCCTTGGCAGCACCACTAGCCTGTGGCTGCCTCTCCTTTGCTCTGCCAGTGAGTCACATCCTTCTTCAAACAATGTTTTCAGAGTGCTTCCTTGCTTGCTTAGCCTACAAACGGCATTCTTGGAAATACTTTTCCTTAAGGTCAGTAAACATGCTTTAAAACTGTAAATAAACTTTGTACATGGGTACCAGCACAATACATATTATTTCTCTGAAAAACTTATGCATTAGCTATCAGAAACAGATTGGAATAACCTGGGCATATTTTCTAGTAGATGCCAGCAATGAGTAAAGAAGTGTTGGGCTAATGGCTTCAGCGTCACTGTATTTCACCTTTTAATTTGGGGGCATGAAGGTGTAAAATTGTAATAAGTGGCCTACGGCTGGGATAAATGGCATATACATTTATACCTGTGTTGTAGAAAAAGACCTTTTTTTTTTAAAGTCAGTGTTCAGTTACGAAGGAAGGGTGATGTGGGCAGGGCTGCTGATAGCAGTGCAAAAATGCTGCCCAGCCTTTCCTCTGTTGGAGTTAGGCTTTTGCTAAGTCTTTTTCTTGAATCATTGCCATCATTACCAAATGATTCAAGTAGCCAAATTTATCTTTCGTGTTTACTTTCTAATTTGGTGGCTGTGAGATACTCTTCAGAGGACAGGGCACTTGTGTTCACATTTGCTGCCTGCTGTTCTTCATGCTGGGAGCAAAAATTTGACTCAGGTTCTCCCCAAGTCATTTGGTAGCTCTGAGGTAGATCTCTCACAGCCTTTCCTGCACAAATTGTTAGTTACTGGATTGAGTGCACTCTCAGTAACTTTGCAGATGACACTAAGTTGGGAGGAGTTGATTTGCCAGAAGGGAGAAAGGCACTATAGAGGGACCTGGATAGACTGGATCGATCGATGGGCCAAGATTAACTATATGAGTTTCAATAGGGCCAAGTGTTGGGTTCTGCATTTTGGTCACAACAACCCCAGGCAACCCTACAGGCTTTGGGAGGAGTGGCTGGAAAGCTGCCTGATGGAAAGAGACCTCGGTGTACTGATGGACAGCCGGCTGAATATGAACCAGCAGCATGCCCAGGTGGCCAAGAAGGCCAATGGCATCCTGGCTTGTATCAGGAATGGTGTGGTGAGCAGGACTAGAAAAGTCATCCTGCCTCTGTATTCAGCACTGGTGAGGCTCCACCATGAGTATTGTGTTCAGTTTTGGGCACCTCAGTATAGAAAGGACATGGAGGTGCTGGAGCAGGTCCAAAGAATGGCAACAAGGCTTTCAGGGTTTTTATGACTAACACAGTGACTGACACCTGATGGAACTCGATTATTTCCCTTTTCAGTTGACACAGAGCTGGTGAGTGGGGTTTCAGCTTGGAGCCATGTAGGCACAGGGGAGTGCATGAAGAGAACTCAGCCTTAGCTGCCAGCCCTAGCACCTCCCATTGAGCCAAACAAAATTCCAGATGCTCATCCACTGGTGCTGCCACATATATATCAACTACTGGTGCAGTTTCCTACAGTTTAATGACAACCCTGGTCCACAAAAATTGGGTGGTGGGGACTTTTGGATTTGGCAGAGCTACACGAATGTAGGAAGTTTGGCATCTGCATTGGTGCTTCAGCAGAGCAGGGTTCTTGTTTCCAGCAGAATGATGGAACATACCTACAGCCATAGCTGTAAAACTGTCAGACAAAAACTGCCAATGGAAGAAAAATTTGAAGCATGTACACTTGAAGACATTGAAGAAAGTGATTTATCTCAGAGTATCTCCTGTCCTTTGCAGTGTCTTATCACCCTAGAGAATAAGACTTGACAGGCAGCCTGACATCTTGTTTGTGATTGACAATGGAAATCTTCTTATTTACTTTGATTACATTCCTACATTTTTGTACTGAGTACTTCCTACAATGCCTACCTACACTCAACTGTGATATCTATTCCCTACTGCATAACATGTGATCTGTGTTAAACTCCCATGTATGCATATGTATGCACATCTCATGTCGGTGTACCCAGAATCCATCAGACAGGATGAAAAGATGACCTCTGGAAGACATATTTTCTTCACTTTGTTTTCTATTCAGCCAGTCCGAGAGAGAGCAACACAGCCTAGGAGCACTGCTCAGTGCTGCTCCATGCACTGCTGCCTGGATACAGCTTCACCAAACCAAGCTTGGGATGGGACCCAGCAGAAGACTCCTGATGTAGGTGATGAAGCATATGCAGCTCCTGGCCACTTGAAGCCAAGCGTTTTGTTCACCTCCAAAAGCAGAACCTGAGACTGCCTTATGAAGCTGTGGAACTCATCTCCTCTGTATCACCACTGCATGTTTTCACATCACTGCATGTTTTACCCTTGCATGTTTTCCAGGCCGTGCTTTGTAGCCAGGGTTATAACTTTTCCTGCAGGAAACCTATACTGAAACTGGCCCACATTTTTGTTGTTATTCCCCTCCAACACAGTGAACCAGCAATCTGGTTTGTAGTGACAAGCTTCTGGGCCAAGGTGCAGGCAAAGCAGTGTGCAGTGGTGCTGCTGCATGGGTTACAAAAGCCAGGATAGGCAACAGCACAGAGCCTGAGATGAGCTTCACTCCCAGCAGAATTTTAGTAGTGAAGGCTTTGCTGCCTCTGATAACGATTTTCATTGTGATGGCTGAAATAATCAATGTGGCAGCTCTGCTGGTAGCTGGGGCAGGCAGGGCAGGCAGCGTAAAGTGGAAAAGCTTCACTTCACGGTCTGTCATCCTGATTTGAGGATGTGGAGGGTTGCTGTGATTGCCTGTTACAAAAGACAAAATTAGTTCAGCCCAATAGCTTGTCTCAGTGCCAATACTGCAGTGAGGGGAGAGCAGGAATCCTTGGGTGACCATAGGATCATGAAATAGGCTGGGAATTGCATTGGACACCAGCAGTGCACTCACTATTAGCACTTCCAAAAATTCCAGAAAAGTAGTGCTACAGGAAAGAATTCACAGTGGCTTACTGTATCCCAACAAAACCCCTCTGATGGCTTATGCTAGCCTGCATTTTCTGAGGTGCTCCTGTGGCTGTGGGCAAGTCGGACCAAGTGAGACCAATGTGCTCTTCTGCATAGGTTGGGAAAACTGGGATTGTTCAGAATGGAGATGAGGAAGCTCAGGGGAGACCTTATCGCTCTTTACAATAACCTGAAAGAGGTTGTGGCAAGGTGGGGGTCAGCCTTTTTTCCGAGGTAACAGAGATAGGATGAGAGATAATGGCTTCAAATTGCACCAGGCGAGGTTCAGGTTGAATATTAGAAAAGGTTTCTTCTCAGAAAGAGCGGTGAGGCAGTGGCACAGGCTGCCCAGGGAGGTGGTGGAGTCACCGTTCCTGGAGGTGTTCAAGAGCCGTGTGGATGTGGCACTGAGGGACATGGGCAGTGCTGGGGGTGGGTTGATGGTTGGACTAGTTGTTCTGAAAGATCTTTTCTAACCTTAATGATTCTATTCTATAATTCTATAGCCCAGTCTACATGCTGTTAAAACAGATGTACATACTAATGTCAATTCCTCCACTTGATCTATAGAGTGAAAGAACCATGAAAACAGGAGTGGCACAGTCCTGAGGCCAACATGTATTAATTCAGGTCTTGCAGCCTGTTAAGACCTCTCTTCACTTAAAAATCTGCTGGGACTGCTGAGATGTTCCATGGAGCTTGTCCTTAGACACATCCTCCTTGGCTGGCCCTGAGGTTCACTTCAAAGGTTCAAAGAATCATAGAATCTTCAGAGTAGGAAGGGACCCTTAAAAGTCATCTAGTCCAGCTCCACTGTAATGAACAGGGACATGCATAGTTAGATCAGGTTGCCCAGACACAGCCTCACTTTGGAAGTCTCCAGGAATGGGGCATTCACCACAACTCTGGGCAGCCTGTTCCAGTGCTTCACCACCCTAACTGTAAAATACTTTTTCCTTATATCTAACATAAATCTATCATCTTTAAGCTTGTCTAGGTCCCTCTGGAGCTCATCTTGTCCCTGTGATGTGTCAACTGCACTCCACAGCTTGGTATTATCAGCGAACTTGCCAAGGGTGCACTTGACCCCATTGTCAATGTCACTGATGAAGATATTAAAGAGTATTAGTCCCAGCACTGACCCCTGTGGGTTACCACTGGTCACTGATTTTCATCCAGATATGGAGCCATCGACCACTGCTCTCTGGACTCAATCCTGCAGCCAGTTCTTAGTTCATCAAACAGTCCACCCATTAAATCCATATTCATATCCATATCCATATCATAAATCCAATATGGAGAGAAGGATGTTGTGGGGTAACATGTCAAAGGCCTTACTGAAGTAAAGGCAGATGACTTCAGTTGCTCTTCCCTTGTCCACTGATGTAATGCTACCATCATAAAAGGCTACTTGGTTGGCCAAACAGGAACTGCCCTTGATGAAGCAATGCTGGTTTTCCTATATCACCTCCCAGTTCCATTCGCCGTAGCACAGCTTCCGGGACAATCTTTCCTAGGACAGAAGTGAGACTGACAGGTCGGTAGTTCCCAGGCATCCTTTTTGCCCTTCTTAAAAATGGCTGTGATGTTGCCTTTTTTTCCAGCCAGCTCAGCTGGCGGCTCATTTTCAGGAGATACGGATCCATGAAATAGAAAATGTAAAGTAATGTGTCTGTAGCACACAGCAAAGCTGAGCAGTGTGGCAGTGTGCAGACTGGAGGAAGCTGTTGCCTTTTAGGAAAACAAACAAACAAGTCCCTTTCTCTTCCATCGTGAAAGGGAGAATGATGCTCTCAGGATGAAAGAAAAGAAAGGAGAAGAACTGGAATTATCCTTCCTCACCTAACAGGAGCTCATTCCAGAGCGCACATAGCCCCTACCCTGTGCCAACCGTTATAAAAATGCTTTGCTGTTGTTTAAAAGGGGAAAGTGTTTTTGGGGAGGGTGGTTTTGCTCTCAGAAGCCGCTCAGCTACTGTTTTACAGAATTACAGAATAACAGTGGTTGGAAGAGACCTCTGGAGATCATCAAGTCCAACCTTCTGCTAAAGCAGGTTTCGTATAGCAGGTTGCACAGGCAAGTATCCAGGTGGATCCTAAATATCTCCAGAGAAGGAGACTCCACAACCTCTGGGCAGCCAGTTCCTGTGCTCTGTCACTCACACTGATGAAGTTTTTCCTCATATCTGTAAGGAGCTTCCTGTGTTCCAGTTTATGTCCCTTACCCTTTGTCCTGTTGCTTCACACCACTGAAAAGAGCCCAGGCACCAATGAAAAGAGTTCACCATCAGCCTACAGAAGAAGCCAGGAGCCCCACTCTTGCCCTTCCCGAGTAAAATCAAGAGGCCATGCCTGGCCCACCTGCAGCACAGGGCAGTCCAGGCCTCCTCTTTGTGCCTCAGGTAGGAATAGAGCCTGCGCAGGCTCCCGTGCATCCTCATGGGCTGACCTAGTTTCACGGTGGAGCACTGACCTGCACCAGGTCGGGCGTGAGGCGCTTGGCCCTCAGCCACTTCTGGAAGCGATGGGTGCGGCGCAGGGCCTGCTCTAGGCTGCATGTTTTGGTCTTCAGCAGGGAGGTGCAGATGCGCTGGTCAGCCCGGTCATGCTGGTACTTGGTGGTCAGGCGGGTGATGTCAACCATCCTCCAGCTTTGGGTATCATCGGTGTAGTTGCCCAAGTAGCTGAGCAGGTAGCTGGGGGGCAGCTTTAAATGAGAAGAAAGCCAGGTGTCAAACCTGCCAAACCAAAACGAGAGCCCCAGGGAGAGCGGGTTAACAGACCTCGCCAATGCCCACCGCGCCAGTGCAACCACCGCTTTGCCCTCAGGCACCATGGGGAACTGCGGAAATCTCACAGAGAGGTCTGGGGGATTTTGGGGAGAGTCCCCATTAGGACCCCTGGGGCACCTCTTCCAATGTGGGGCCAATGTGGGTTAGAGCGTGGTCTCATGTGCACTCAGTGAGAAGACCGGGTGGAAATATGCTCGGACAAAATGTCCTCGTTCATTCCTCACTTAAAAATATTCCTTGTTATGGGGGTGCCTTGAGGGGGAGAGGAGAGATAAATGCTAAAATTTGGGCCACATGGAGAGTAAAAAAGAAGGGAGAAGTCTCAGGGTTTCAGTTAAGAGGGAATTTTTGACGTTTTGAGATTTCCTAAGCTGCAAAGGGAAACTGGCCAAAAAAGGAATAATCAACACTTTCAAATACTCTGCAGAACAAAAACTTATGAAAATAAATGTGTTTGGAATTAACAGGATGACCTTTCTCTCTAAGGTGGTGGCATGGACTCGGCACCGAGCTTGCCAGAGTTCAAGTGTCTAGACGATTGTCTCAGATATTTGTTCTGATTTTTGGGTGGTCCTGTGTGGAGCCTGGAGTTCTATTGGATAATGCTCATGGGGCCCTTCCAATGCAGGCTATTCTATGATTCTATGATTTACCTGGTGTTAATGCATGATAGACAGGTGTAATTTTTTTTCATTAATCATGGAATCATAGAATAACAAATGATAGAATGGCTTGGGTGAAAAGAACCAGAAAGATCATCTAGTTCCACCTCCCTGTCATAAGCACGGTTGCCAACAACTAAATCAGACACTAGATCAGGTTGCCCAGAGTCCCACCCAATCTGGCCTTGAACTAATGCTGAAATAAAGATCATGTAAGATAGCATGATCAGCAGGTGAGGGGGGGGTGATTCTGCCTGTCTGCTCTCGTAGGACCCCACCTGGAGTATTGTGTCCAGTTTTGGAGCCTGCAAAACAAGAAGAACGTCAAGCTGTTGGAGCAGGTTCAGAGGAGGGCCATGAAGATGATTAGAGGGCTGGAGCACTTCCCCTGTGAGGACAGACTGAGAGAGCTGTGTTCTTCAGCCTGGAGAAGATAAGACTGAGAGGAGACCTCATCGTGGCCTGCCCGTATCTGAAGGGAGCCTACAGGAAAGCTGGGATTTTTTTAAAAGGGCAGGTAGTGGTAGGATGAGGGGAAGTGCTTTTAAACTGGAAGAGCCTACATTTAGACAAGATATTAGGAAGAAATTATTTACTGTGATGGTGGTGAGACATTGGAACAGGTTGCCTAGTGAGACTGTGGATGTCCCCTGCCTGGAAGCACTCAAGGCCAGGCTGGATGAGGCTTTAAGCAACCTGGTCTAGTGGGAGGTGCCCCTCCCTATAGCAGGAGGTTGGAATTAAGTGATCTTAAAGGTCCGTTCCAACACAAGCCATTTTATGATTCTATGATTCTGTGATTTTGTTTGAAGTTTTCAATGCCATTGATAAATCTCTAGGAAAAAAAAAGTTTAATATAATGACTAAGTGCTTTCCTCAGCTACAAAGTCTTCTCTGGGGCTCACACAGTTTTCCTGGCCATGTCACAGCTCTGGGCAGCCACCTTCCTTCCACCCCTTGGGCTGAGGCCAGTGAAGGAGGCTCAGATGAGGGTGCCTGGCTGCCTGGAGCTGTCCCCATGACCAGGAACTCTCTTGCTATAAGGGGAGATGTAGGATATGGGATGGAAACTCAGTGCCAGGGTCATCACGTGCCTCTGACACAGGGTTTTAGCAGCCAGTATGCAAGACCAGGATGCAAGACTACAGAAGTTTTGGGGGATCTTGGCAGGATGAGGAGGGGACGCTTTGTGCCAGACGCATGGCACTGCTGTGGCCATGAGCACTGTGCACCAAAATTCTCCCCCTGCACAGGCCTCAGAGGGGAGTGTTTGGCCAACCAGTTAAGCTGTGATGATGCTTTTTCGGGCTGCCCCCACAGCCCTGCCTGAGTCGTGCTTTCTGTAAGCTCACTGGCAAGATGCGAGAGCTCAGCTGAATCCCAGCCTTCAGCATGGCCAGCAGCTGAACTGGCTGCCCCTGGGGTCTCCTAATTATACATTGCCAGAGTGCATAAGAAAGCATTTCTTAATTTAATCTCACTATAAATTAAAGCTGATGATAGCTCAGAACTGAAACAGGAGAGGCAAGGGGTGCCCTTCAGGAGCAGCTAGCTGCCGGTAAATGAAAAGGCACTAATGAGGCCGAGGGTTGAAGCTAATTTTTCTTTTTGACTTCCAGTTGGGAACTCCACACTGAGAAATGTTGAGGGGGTTCATTATCTTTCATCCCCACTAAATTTACCCTTCAAGGATCAGTGTGTGCAGCCTCTTTCTGCTTCTAAGAGCTGATGGCTTCTCGTGCCAGGGGTGCTCTCGGACACAGGAATGGACCGGCTCCTTCTGCAGCCAGCAGCTGGCCCCATGCCGAGGTCAGGGCATTTTGGTCTTTGGGGCGTTTTGCCCAGTACGAAATCAGAGCTTCCCTGTGATCCAAGTATCTGACCTAAAATGAACTCCCCCCTCCTGTTTTTTTAAAAAAAATTTTTTGGCTGGTTGTGAGATTGGACCAAAGAGCAGAAAGTGATTGCCGTGCCTTGCTGTGATTTGCTTTGCGTCACGACCCCTCCCAGCGCCTAATCTGTAAGGCAGGCACAGCATGCCAGGCACGTAAAGGAAAGAGATGGCTACAGGCTGGGACTTTCTTTCCTTCTCTCTCTCTCTCTCTCTATCTCTCTCTTTTTTTTTTTAATGAAGCATAAACATGCCTTGTGACTTGGCTCGTGCCCATCTCAGGGGAGCTCATGTCAGGCAGGCACCAGTGCAGAGCCACCTCCTGCAGTCATCAGAGCCAGGATGCATGACGCAGCACAGAGCCCAGCTCTGGGCATACAGCACTGGGAGAGCTGTTTCCCCAAGGCTGCCAGGGGGTCCCAGTTGGGGTCATGGCCACTCTGTGCTTGGCATCGTTTCCAGGCAGCCCAATGCTGTCCTGGCACGCATGCTGGATGCCTATGAGATGCGTCACTGTGTTGTGCCACAGCAGTAAGTCAGCCTCGTGCAGGGCCTGAGCAGTTACTCAGGGCCAGATTGGGTTTAGAGAAAATGGTTGGTGAGATCTGCATGAAGAGCTGATTTGCCAGCTGTGAGGTTTGGATCAGCCCAGAATTGAACAAGGGAGGAAATCAAACTTGCTTTTCTTTATACTGTATGAAACCAAGTCTTTTGTTTCAGCCAAAATAATTTTGCTTGTCTTTGGAGTACTGAATATTTAAAATATGTATATTAAATAAGTATTAAAAAAATAAGAAAGAAAATAAGAAAGAAAAAAATTAAAAACAAACAAACAACAACAACCAAACATTCCAACTTTTTCAAACTTTTCCAGTAGTTCTGGCCAAAACTAGTTACCAGCATTGACACAAAGCTGCAAGGAGTATCACAGACTCACAGAATGGCTTGGTTTGGAAGGGAGCTCAAAGCCCACACTGCCCCAACACCTGCCATAGGCAGGGCTGCCCCCCATCAGCTCAGGCTGCCCTGGGCCCCATCCAATCTGGCCTTGAGCACTTCCAAGGATGGGGCACCACAGCTTCTCTGGGCAGCCTCTGCCTTTCCACCATCTGGGTAAAGGATTTCCCTGACACCTAATCTAGATTTTCCTTCTTTTAGTTTAAAAAAGTTCCCCCTTGTCCTATCACTATCTGCCTGTGTAAAAAGTTGATTTCCCTCCTATTTTTAAGCTCTTTTTAAGTACTGGAATGTCACAAAGAGTTCTCCCTGGAGCCTTCTCTTCGCCAGGCTAAACAAGCCCAGTTCTCTTAGCCTGTCTTCATAGGAGAGGTGTTCCAGCCCTCTGAGCATCACACTAATGTATCATTCCCAGTGCAAATTAAGAGAGAAATTCATCTTTGTGAAGACAGGAAAAGGTACATGGGAGTGGATATAGGAGTGCCTCCAAAATTTTCTACTTTTGCCCCATATTCTGACTGCTTTAGGAATCAAGCAAGGGGACACATTTCGTCCCTGCCTCTCTTGGTGTTGCTGGACATTTCTGCATACCCTCACATTGCCTGCAGCATGAGCCAGAGTCAGGAAGCCAGGGGGCACTGGAGCAGAAGGAGCATTGGGCACAGGGTGCTGGCATGGCCACCTCATCCAGAGCATTCTGGCTTTACTGTGCTGCATTTAATGGAGTCACTCCGTAGAAAAAGAGTAGTTTGCCCAATGTTATACTGCTCATATTGCAGCATTAAGAATACAATTTTGCTATAGTCATTCCTTCTCTCCCAGGTTTTTATATCCATAAAAGCAAGTGTATCCGGCTCTATAAAAGAACATTCATCCGGCTCTATAAATCTTATCAGATCCAATAAACCCTTCCTCTGCCAAGTGCTGTCTTTTACTTTCTCCTCAAACTTATCAGCGACATTTTCCTCCTGCCAGCAGATGTGCTCTGCTTTGAGCCTTTGAAGTTGCTTAGGGCAGCCTGACTAAGGCAGTGGACATCCCATCAACCTGGAGGCAATTCTGCACACACACATTCTTGCAGCTGGTGCAAGGTGGTATATTTGTAGTTAACATATCCAACTGTGAGAACACAAAGTGAATCAGCCCTCACCTTTCTCAGCTGCTCATAGCATCATGCTTCCAGTGACACTGAAACACACTGATTTCTCCCTTCCCCCACCTCCCCCTTCCATCACTGTCTTGAGCTCTTTCAGAGACATCCCTGTGCAGAGAGCTGTGCCTTTCACTCCTGCTTTCAAGTTAAGGTTCAGAGCTGAGGTCTGATCAGGTCTGCATGGTTGTAAGAGAAAACAGAAGCAGAGCAGCAGCACATAGACATGTAAAATAATTTAAAATACGAGGTGCTGCAGTGGCAGCCTGGTGATGTTATCTTTCCATTGGCTTCCAATAAAGCATAGGGAAATGCTAACAGGCAGTTTTCAAGTTATTATGAGAAAATGACTGTGCTGAGTTTCTGACCTTATTTCCTCCTTAAAGAACTTCTTGCAAATGGACGTCCCAATGCAGGCGTTGCATTTATCAAGTCCCAGGAAAGTGCGGCCAAAGCTGTAGCTGGGTCTGACGTGGGGCGCAGACGGTGAAGCTGTTGCTGCTGCAGAAGGGTTAGAGCTACGAGCCAAAACCAGGAGCAGCATCAACCAATCTGCAACTCTGGAGCAAAGGCAGCATATCCAGCGCCCCATCTACAGTAGTGGAGAGCTCTGTCTGTTGCACACTGCCCTTCTGCAGTCTCCCAGATCCTCTCCAGTGATCTCAGTCCAACGTGGTGAGCCCCAAAGCATAACCAGGCGACAGACACGCGGCCGCAGCCCCCATCCTGCCAGCTGCTCCCTGGTTCTACCGGTGTGAGGTTTGGGTGGGGGAGATATGGTGCAGGGTGGGGAGAAGGAAACACATGGAGGATGCAGATAACTTGGGTTGCCGTGGTTACCTTTCCTCTCCTTGCGGCAGCTGCTTTGGCCCCGCTGACCCTCCCATCGGCGGGCTGGGAAACAAGGCAGAGGAGTGCTCATCCACACTTTGTGCAGACAAACGGAGGATATCCTGCTGCTGGAGCAAAGGGCAAGTGTGGGACGCTTGCTGATTGGGAAGGAATAATGGTGTGGCAGGAACACATATTTAATCTGAGTCTTGCCCTTCGCACTGTTTCATTCCTGGAGACTTGCAGTGACACATGGATGGACTTCTTGGATGCTCGCTTGGCTTGGTTTCCCCCTCAGAGAAACACCAAAAACTCTGTTTGGTGGTGTTGTCTCTTGGAAATGGTGCTAAAGCAGACTGCAATGCTGTGTCTCCTGCTGTAGGATGTGGGGTGGCCTGAAACTGCCTGAAAAAAGCAGCTCAGCTAACATGCCTGTGATCAAGTCATGCCCCAAACCAGAGCTTTGCAGCAAGGCTTCTGAGTTCCCAAAGGGCACTGGGAATAAGCTAGAGGATGGGTTGGAACTAATGCAAGAGCTTGCCAGAGGTTCCCAATACACTTATAAACCAGAGATCACACCCACAAACTGCTTGCCTTTGGCCAGAGTTGTGAGGGTTACAGAAACTGCTGGCTCTCCAGCCTGGCCTAGAGCAGGACTGAGGCTGGGCACCAGAAGTGCTGGCAGAGGCAACTCTGACCAAAGTACTCTTTCTGCATTCTGGAGGGAAGGCAGCCTCTCCTCCCCTTTGCATGAGCAGGAGGGTGATGATGGCATTTAGGGTTTGTCTGCAAGGGAGCAGCCCAGCAAGGATGATAAGCACTGCAGAGAAGGCAGGGGATGCAGTGCATCCTGCCAGCTGCAGAGGAAAGAGGCTGTGCTGTTCTGTTACACGAGCATCCAACATGCAGCACTACTCTGCACATCCACATTTGGCTGTGTGCTCTGGTGTAAAGCTGTTTGGAATCTGCTGGTGAGAGTGCCCACGCTAGAGCCCAGTGCTCGCATCCAGAAGTTTATCCATTCCTTGGGAGGTGGCTGCTGTCCCTGTGCAGACATCAGCCCTTTGCATTGCTTCCTGCCAGCAGCTCTGCATCACCCGTTGGCTTAGCGCTGCTCCTACCCCGCTGTTCTCTGGATGTTACCAAAATTAAACACTAGCAATCTGTCTTCATCTTCACTACATCATATATAAAGCCCATATCCCTCAGTTTCTCAACATTCTTCAGGCTTCATTTTTTCCCTGATGATTTTAAGAACAGTAACCTGGACTCCTGGCTGCCAGCTCAGTGACCCAAGGAAAAGGGAAGGGCTTCAGCCCTGGCCTTTCCCATAGCAAGCCCCAGGTACTCCAGAGCTCTGACGTGAAAAACACATTGGCAGTGGAGTTTCTGGTTCTATTAATGCTGTCTGGATGGCCAAGATGTTCGTGCACTCTTGATTGATTTAGGAATGCGAATACCAGGTGCTCATATTCCCAAGGAACAGCACATGCAATTGTATTTTCCTGCAGTGCTCCATGCCTGCGTCACCCTAAAATGTTACAAAAGCAGCTTTTTGTTCAAAAATTGGGAACAGGTTAATTGGAACCACATCAGAAGCTTGTTCATGGCATTTGCACTTGCCCCCATGCCCTGATGTCCTTGTTCCACCAAGCATTTCTGTTCAGCCTTGGCTGTCGCTGAGCACAGATGAGTGCGTAGGAAACAGTCTTGAAAACGAAGCTTAGAAATTATACATAGATCTTTGATCTAGTCTATGATGGCAGCCAGAAAATGGTAGTTTGCCATATATTTTGAGAATTGCTATGCTTTTGAAAGAAACCTCTTCCAAGGAGCTTTGTTGCCTCCATCCTAGTGATATGACATGTGGATGTCATTATCACACAGCTGTCTTCTAAATTTTCTGCTTATGCCAGGCAGAAGCAGCAGCTCAGGTTTACAAGGTCACAGTGAGGTTTGATGGAACTCAGCTCTTTGGGAAGGGCAGCCCCAAAGAGCCCACAAGACCTGCACATACCCTTGTAGCAAAATACTTCCATGCAACAACATGCACAAAGCAATGTTGTGCTTGCTGAGTGTAGAATCATAGAATCACTAAGGTTGGGAAGACCACTGAGATCACCAAATCCAACCACCAGCACACCCCCACCATGCCCACTGCCCATGTCCCTCAGTGCCACATCCACATGGCTCTTGAACACCTCCCAGGATGGTGACTCCACCAGCTCCCTGTGCAGCCTGTTCCACTGCCTCAACACTCTTTCAGAGAAGAAACCTATCCTAATATCCAGCCTGAACCTCACCTGGCACGGTATAAGCTCATTACCTCTCATTCTAAACAAGAGAAGCCATCTAGCATGATGCCTCCTGCAGATCTTACGGATCAGCTTAAGCTGTACTCTACTGCAATGGCAGGTATTTGTCAGTGTGTACAAAAAATCTGGTCTGATGAGACTCACACAGCCCTGACCAAACCCACCAATCAAGCTCAGCACCACCTCCTTCCACCTCTATCCCTCTCCCACCTCCACTCAAGTGGACATGGCTTTGCAGATGAGGAATCCTCTTTAACTAATTAATTAACTGATGGATGAGGCCACTCACCGCATCAGAACAGGGCAGGCAGAGAGGAGCAGGATTTGCAGCAGCATCATTGCCCCTCAGTGCATGTCCCCAGCAAGGCTCTCGTTGCTCTTCTCCTCATTTCCCTCACTATTTCCTCACCAGATTTCCTGCTGCAAAAGGGCCCTCTCAGCAAGCACGGGGTTGCTCAGCAACAGAGAACTGCCTGGTGGGATGCAGGATGGCTGTGTTGCTCTGCCAGGCACAGGAAAGAAAAAAATACCGGAAAAACCATACTTTGGCTGGAAGAGGGGAGGCTGCTGCTCTTCCTGAGGTCTGAGGTGGGTTGTGCTGCTCTCAGGGCCTGATAAGCCCTTGGCGTCTGCTCAGAGCAATGCTGCAGGATGAGTGGGAGGTCTTGCAGGGTGTGGTGCAGAAGGACTGCTCTTAAGTGTGATTTTCATTAATCACATCCAAGATAATCGTTAAACTATTGCCGAGCAACCGGCACGGGCTTGGTTCCGAGACACTTATCATTTCCATCCCATTTCAGGCTGGATGTGTGGATTAATAGCTAGAACAGCTTGAGACATTTTCAATTCTTTCAAAATGAAAAATGCATCTTTTTCAACACTACAAAACTCACAATGTTTGGAAGGATGCAATCATTTCCTTTTTCTGTTGTGTTTTTTGTTTTTTTTTTTTAAATTTTTTTCATGATCGTGAAAGAAACATCTGTTTTGGAGTGATCTGCAACACAAAATTTCTGTTCTAGTTGGAGTAGAAATGGACAACTTCTGCTGCATGCTCTTGCTTTCCTTTTTTCTCCTGCTGAAAGAGAAAAGACAGAGGGAGAGGAGGAGAAGCAAGAAAGCAAACCCAAGCCACTGCCCACACTGCAAACAAAGGCAGAAAAAGCGGCCACTGAGGTGTGGGTGGTGTCGAACACCAGAGTTGAGTGGGTAGAATATGTTTTCACTGCCATTCACTATGAGAAGATTTGACGTTCTGAGCGTATGGATTTTTCTATGTTTTGAATCAATGAAGATAATAAAAAGCAAACAAAAATTTGACCTTTTTTTTTGCCTCTCCAGGAAATAGTGCCCATTGTTTGACAAGCCTAGATATAATTCATCAGAAGCATCAATAATCTACTCTATTATTAATATAAGAAAACAGTCGCTGCTCTGTATCTATAATATTTTTTATTCTTCCTGGCTCCTGCTGCTGCTGCAGACCAGGAAGCCTGCTGCTTGGAAATCTCTGCCTCTGCACACTGGTAGGCAGCTGGAAGCAAAAGTCAGCTAGAAGAAAAGCCTTGGGCTCTGTGGCTGGCAGATAAGGGCAGTTCTTTTTTGCAAGAGGCTGAAATGTCAGCACAAAAGGCCACCAAATACTACCAGCTACGGTGCTGCCTGTGGCATTTAGGGAAGATCATGCAGAGCAGCAAGAAATATAGAAGATCCTTGATTTAGGTACATTGGTGTCTACAGGAAGAAAAAAAGAGATATGGTGAACTTGAGCCTAGAGGAAAGTGATAGTCAAAGGGAAATTGGTTGCAGACCAGATCCCTTGGTAGGGGTGGGGGTGATACTGGTTACTTCCTGCACAAACCATGAAGGAGAGAATTGAGGAGGAACAACCTGGAAGGGGAACAAAGCTCACCAACAAGGAGCACTCATCCTCTACTGAGTGACCCTGGAGCACACTCAGCCCCACAGTGTCTTGCACATCCCCAGCCCATGTGCCTGCAACAGAAGCACTGGTGTGTGCAGCAGGATTTCCTCTGGCAGAGCTATGGCAAGGAAACAAAGGGTCTCTCCCAGGCCAAATACATAAACGAAAATTATCCTCTTTTGAGAAAATGAGAAATATTTTCATGTCATGCAGTTTTCCAGAAGAGAAAGACCTACCAGTGATATTTTTCTTGGATAGATACTACTGAGCCTGTGTCCAAACCACTAAATGGATTACGAATAATGCAGACTTTTTGGTGCCATAACTTCACATTTTCTATCAAATTCATCTGTGAAGCAGAAGCAGGACAAAACAGGGTCAGCTAAAATAAAAAGGGCATGGCAGGAACACGCTCTTTGAATGGGTTGGCTAATGAACCACAGCTACTGAAATAGCAGCTTGGTTTCCAAAGTGAAAGACATTTAAAATAGGAGCATGAAAGGATTTCTTCTGAACTAGTCACTGAGTAAACGAAAAAAAAAACAATATGCAGGGAAAGAATAGAACATTGGAGACACTTGATTCAGTGGCAGACAGTCAACCTTATCAAACCAGATATTTCCTTTTGGATACTCATTGTTGTTTCCCATTTATCTTGTTTGCCAGATTG